AGCGTTGAGGAAGATGCACTGTTACGGCACGTGGCACAGCATCGAGCAGGGTTTCGACCACTGCGGGAGGTACTCCAAGCGGATAGTCCGGGGCCGCACTTCTTGCACCCAGAAGGAGTACACGGAGAGCATCGAACGCATACCGTGGAGCGCGGCACGACGCAAGCATAAGGAGAGTACGATCACAGCAGAGGAGCGTCAAGCGATGCACCGAGTCAACAGGAAACTTCAGTGGCTGGTCAAAGGGCGAGGATGGACCTCGCGATCCAGCTGATTTAAAGCCAGACGCGAGCACACGACCCAGAGAGCACAGCACAGGACACCATGGAGATTGACAAGACGATCAGATGAACGTGGCCGCTACGACGTACCAGGTGGAGATCACATTCCAGAACATCGACCAGACTCATGCGGCGGTGGTCGCGATCGGCGACTCTAGCTTCCCGAACGTTGGCATGAACAAGATGGCCAACCAGGCTGGGCTCCACATCCTGATAACCGGAAATGAGGATGACAAGTTCGTTCGAGGCAAACCAGCGAAGGTCACACCGATAATATGGAGATCACATCGTATCAAGCGAGTTGTTCGTAGCACCTGACGGCGGAGATCTTGGCAGCACTCGAAGCAGTTGAGAGTGGGGATCTTGTACGAGCTCATCTTGCGGAGATGCAATCCACATACTACACCCAAGCCGACGACGTGGCGAACATCCAGACAATTCAAGTGACTGAGTGCAAATAGTTATACCACCTGCTACAGGAGCGAGGCACGATTCCCAGCGAACGCAGGCTACTGATCGATATCGAGGCGCTATGCAACGACCTTGAAGACTCGAATCTGGTCCCCAAGTAGGTAGTAAACACCTGGCGGATGTTGGCCGACTGTCCGACCAAGAGCGACGCTCAGGCGGCTGACTACATGCGCTACGTGCTGAAGACAGGCTGCTACAGGCTTACCGACGACAGGAAGGCCGACCAGGCGGTTGCCCAGATGAGGTAGGTACCAGCTGAAGGGCGAGCGCGGCGATCACTACAGAGCCAACTATCCCAAGCGAGTCCGACTGTCAGCAGCAGTACGTCACGGAAGCTACACCCACTACGACACGTTGGTCGACGTTCGAGATGCAGCTATGATGGACAAAGTTGGACCCAAGTGGAACCTCAAGTGGCGCATGATGGTCACTCAGACGGCGGACGGCACCTTCTACCACACGATAGAAGATATGGTCGACTGGCAACGGCGGAAGATACCTGAGCTAATTAAGAAGCTGATCACGGTCTACGCCCCCAAGAAGAAGGCTCTCACATAATGGCGCGACGATTCATGAAGGGACACACTCGCATGAGTGGCAGCGACAACCGACTGGACATGAACGATCCCAGTGCCGAGAACCTCTAAGTGGCAGGCGCTGACGCTACGCTTTAGAGGACGACGACGACGGAGCGGCGGCGAACAAGGACGACGACGACGACGACGACAACTGCTACGTACATGATGGAGGACGGCGTCGACTCGGAGTTCCGGAGTTCCTGGTCGTGAAGGGAAAGGCTGGAGCAGCAGCGGCGGCTACGGCGGCATGTGCAGTATGCAGTATGGTGGTGGACCAGTGTGATTGTGGACAACGGGTTCGCAGGGCAATCAAACATCAAGAACAATCGACATCGTCAATCCAGGGAGACGGCAAGACTATCCCAGTGGAGTAAACGGCAGGCTACGACGACAAGGGGAACATACGAGGAGGGCTGTGCAAAGAAGCGGACGACGAGATCTTCAAACCAGATAAAGGAAGAGGCAATGGCAAGGCTAAGGGCGTGACAAGCCGCTCGGGGTCATCAGCACCAACACGAGGAACGGCAACTACTTAGAACAAGTTCTACGAACAGCCCAAGGACGTCAAGTACCAGATCTACGACAAGAAGACGATCAAGCGGACGGAGAAGCAGCCGATCCTGGACCCAGCTACCTGCGAGCGTCGACCCGAGTGACTCACGACTCGGGGAAGCAACCATTTTCACGAGAAGGTGGAGTGCAGGGCGTGCTTCCAAGTGTTGAAAGACCACGATGCACCTGAGTGGGCGGAGGACAAACGGAGGCGTGCCGAGGCCAAGAAGCGGATCGCCAAGCCGAGATGGCCTGGAACGAAAGGAGCCAGCAGGGATGATCAGTACGAGGGACCGATGCAAACCTAGGATTGAGCTTTGAGCGCAATTTCACCACATTCTTGTGACCGCCGAGACTTGACCGGCTGAATATTTCTGCAGTACCTAATGTAGCAGGCCTCACTGCGAGTCGACTCGCAGGACCGAGCGTGCATCTTAGAGGTGAAACAAATGAATCTGCATGATTATAACTGCTTGTGTATAGTGTTGTGCACACGTACAGCTCATGATGTGTGCTATGGACATGTATGCTCAAACCGTTTAGGCGCCTTGAGCTCTGGTGAGACAAACGAGTCCCTCCTATGCGCTTCCTCCCGAGCGGCGATAGCGAGGCCACAGCGACGACGGTCACATCATCAAGATCCTCTGGACCCTAGGGACCCCTTCGGTTTCCAGTGGAGGTTCGAAGAGTATCGAGAGTGTCCGACACGGCCCGAACCTCCGACATGACGGCGCTCTCCATGTCGCAGCTGTGCTCGCTGCCCTCCAGGAAGCTGGTCCTGAAGTCGCCGCCGTCCCCGCCCAGCTCGGCCTGCTTCTCTCTCGCCGCTTCGAGCCAGTCCGAGAGCTGCTCCTCCGAGCTGGCGCGCTGCAGCTGCTGGAACTCCGACTCCTTCAGCCTGGAGGGCAAGAAAACCACACGAGGCACCACACGAGGCATTCGACACGGGACGACCGCGGACGGTCTTGCCCCGCCAGCGCCAATCCCCGCACCCTTCCCGTGCTGCGCACTTCGTCACTGCCACGGGCGGCAACTTGGGCACTGCCCCGGGGTGGTTGGAGGAGCTGCGGGGGGCGTCCGCTTGACCGCCCTCAGTCCTGGCCGGGCCCACCCTGGGCCCAGGATCACAGACCCCGGATCATGGAATAGTCAATCACGACGGCAAATTGTCAGAAATCTTTGGCCTCCGGGGGCCCTCGCTGGGCCCCAGGACCGTCAGAAAACGACTCGGGAAGAAAAGCCAGTCCCAGAGATTAGGTCGGAACGTCCGGGGCACACGTCGTGCAAGAATCATGGCGTCGTGGAGCCTGGGATTGGTGCATACATGCCCTCCTGGCCCTGGCCGGGAGGGCGCAGAGACACCGCTCCCGGTCGAGGCGGTCCGCTGACGTCCGAGCGGTGTGCGTCTGTGTGCTCAGAGGCGAGCGAGCGAGCGACCACCAGTGCGGACAGCCGCCCGGGCAGATCTCAGACCAGGTTGAGGAGGCCGTGGCCTCAGGAATCGTCCGTGTGTATACACATGAACACATGCCAATAAACGACAGCACATGTTATGTAAGCACACATATGCATGTGAGTATGTATGTATGGAGGTACGTCTTTATGTATGGATGTATGTATGTATGTATGTGTGTGTGCATGACTGCATGTGTGTATGTATGTATGGTTGTATGCATGTATGTGTGTATATATGTATGAATGTATGTATGTATGTATGTATGTATGCATGCATGCATGCATGCATGCATGCATGCATGTATACATGCATGTATGTATGTAGTGATGCATGTATGTATGTATGCATGTATATATGTGTGTATGTATGTATGCATGTATGTATGCATGCATTTGTGTATGTATGCATGTATATATATATACACACGCATGCATGTATGCATGTATGTATGTATGCATGCAATAACGCATTGATGTGTGTACGTACGTACGCATGTGTGTACGCGTGTATACATGTTTGTGTATAAATATATGTATGTATGAACGCATGTACGCAAACATGTATGAGTGAATTCATGTATGCAAACATGTATGTATGCATGTATGCATGTATGTGTATGTATGTTTGAATGCATGCATGCACGTATGTGTGTACGTGCATACGCATGAAAGCAGCAATGCACATGTGTATGTGTGTTTGCCTGTGTGTATGCATATGTGTATGTATGCATGTATGTATGTGTGTATGTATGCATGTCTGTATGTATGTATGCATGCATGCATGTATGTATGTATGTATGTATGTATGTCTGTATGTATGTTTGTGTGTACCGTGCCGCGCGATACACATATCGAACAGTTCGAGATCAAAGAGGGAGAGTGGAGGAGAGGGAGGAAGGGCTCAAGGGGGGCGTGGCTTGAAGCTGGCTGCGCACCGCCAATAGATCGGCGGGGGCCCCTGGCTGCAGAGCCCGGTGCTCCTGGGCAGGCGGGGGCGCCCAGGCCCCGATCGGCGAGGAATGGGCGATCGGGGGTCGGTGCTTGCGCCCCTGAGCGGCAGCCAAGCATACACGGCGTCGTCGTCGCTCGCGTCCCTGATTGGCCACGCGAGGAAGGGGGTATGGGGAGGGGCGAAGGCTCCTTAGAAGGAGGCTGCTTCTTAGAAGGCGCGGGCCCTACGTCTACAGACAAGGCCCGCGCCGTCTAAGGAGCAGGGTGCTTCTAGGAAGCCTTCCCCCCTCCACATGCCCCCTTCTGCGCGTGGCCGACCTGATCCAGATGGGCTTGCACCTCTTGAGGAAGTCGTCGTGCGACGAGCGCGGGCCCAGGGACCGCGGGGCGGGCGAGAAGTACGACTGCCGGTGGTTCCGGCGCCGGGCGCCGGGCGACAGGGACTCGATCAGCGAGAGTCGCTGTGATGGTCGCGACGCTCGGGTAGCGGCGGGGATGGTAGAGAACCAGAAACCTCAGTCGGCTGACTTCGCGCGGGGAATGACGCACAACTATCTTAGCGCTCTCGCGCCGCCCTGGGGAAGAGGGGAAGCCCTTTGGCTCGTACCGCAACATACGAAGCGCGACCATCTTCGCGACCTCGGAGGCGGCCAGAGAAAGCCAGACGTCCGCGGACATCTGGGCAATGTGTGCTTACGTAGCTTCTGCTTCTCTAGATGGACGGCGCGTGAGCTGAACACCCGTACGCCATGTGAACCACGTTTCGGAAGTACTTAGTGCGAATGTGAAACTTCTTCGACTGTAGCGTCTCGACCTCTCGCTCGATGCTCAGGGCTTCCACCTTTAGAAAAGCAATCAGAGGTCCGCAGGAGTTTTTTGGACGGGCGCTAGGCCCCACTCCCGATGCACGCCGAGCGTGCAAGGGGCGGCGCCAGAGGCGCCGCAAGGGGGTCCCAGCGCCAATCCAAAAACCCCGCGAGGACCTCCGACAGCTTGTGGATATATCGTATGTTTGCTGGCTGATATGGGTAGCGTTTGTCTCATGTCTGGTATTGTTGACCTCTTCATCTTCTTGTTCGTGTTGTTGATTATCATTGGTTGCCTGATCATGCGCTTTCTTCTGATGGTTGTTATTATTCTAACCTTGCGAGCAATCGGAGCCATCTTCGTCTCCAGCAGTCTCTGCAGGGTGTCCATGACCAGCTCGCGCTGCCTCTGCTTGCCCCCTGGCAGCTGGCACGCCGGCGCCATCGTCCCCGACTTGAGCTTGCCCATCTGTATGAGCAGCAGGCCTTGCTCGTTGTATATCCGCATGGCCACGAGGGACACTATCCGGCGCAGCTCCCCGTCCCCATCCAAAATTATGATGGAGTCGCCATCCATGATCTCGTTGGTCAGCTTGGATCGGTTACTCGATTGGTATCTCTTCCACGCGTGCTTGTGGTCGGCCTGGTTTAGCGCGTCGAGGCTGATGAGGCTCTGCCAGTCCTTGCTCATCGAGAGCGCCATGTCGGCCCACTCCGTCAGGGGCACCTGCCAAGTTTTGCCTTCGACCCTCGAGAATCGATGGGGGAGGTTCTCAAACATGGGGTCGCCAGAGTGTATTAAGCCAGAGCGGCAAACGCATGCATGTTCTTTAGCGACGCCGAGGAAAGGAGGAGGAGGCGGAGGAGGAGCAGGAACAGGATGAAAGAAGCAATGCTTCAGAATGCGAAGGAGGTTCTCAGACATGTTTGGTCCTTGTCGGGCCGATGGAGGCCTTCCATAAGCCTCCACGGGGCCTCCAGGAACCCATCTGAAGGCTTCTGGGGGACCTCCAGACACCCGGGCTCGGGATCTGGGGCGGCAGCAAAACTTCCCGGGGGCACCTGGAGGTCGTCGGGCCAGGGCAGAGCCGGCGGCCTCGCTGCTTGCAGGCGCCGGTGGTACTGTTCACAATACTCCTTTTGGCGGCGAGCGAGGGGGGGGGGGGGGAAAGTGAGAAGGAGAAGGCCTTCTCAGAGTGCGGTGGGGCTTCTCAGAAGTCCTCGCATCTTCTGAGTTTTCTGCGTCTTCGGGAAAGGCTTCAAGAACTCCTCAAAGGCCCAGGGACGTCCAAGCCTTCTGAGAAGGCCCGCCCCTTCTCATCTCCCCCCGAGGCTCGCCACCGATCCTTACAGAAGTCGAAGATGGCCATATTGTCCTTTACGACGTTCTGGAACTCAGCGACACGAATCTCTGCGACGTGGCACATCTGTCGGGCCTGCGACGTTCCCACGTGGAACCAGTGGGACCAGAGAGCCGCCTCAGATATCAAACTGTTGCTTTCCACGTCCTGGTCAATTTCATCGTCGACATGCGCATACGCAGGGCTCTGTGTGTACTTGACGACACCACTGATCAGCATGTACGTGGCATCTGCCATCTTACCAGCAAAGAAAAGGTCGTCTTCACGCATGAGGTGGAGTGACCGCATGCATTGGTTCGTGAACAGCTCAGCGAAAGCCTGGTATACGTTCAACCACAGCATAAATAATGAATGGCATTTCATGCACGGCGCGAACACTTCGAACTGCAACTTTTCACGTAAAGTTGCAGACAGGAGTCTCAAACCTCTCACGTTCTCCTTTTTGACGATGTCTTTTGTGGCCAGGCGTGCTCGCAACTGCCTTTGCACTTCTGCTGCGAATGTGTGATCAATTTTGTTCTCATTCAAATACCTGGTCATCTCGTTCAGCATCAAATAAGCCGCCGGGCCCCATGGGGGGTCATCAGACTGCGAGCATAAAATGTCAACAACTAAGAACGATACACATCGAACGGAAGACGTATGCTGAGAATCCGAAAAATTGGAAATTTAGGTCCACTGGGTTTCGGCCAGCAGTTTCGGGATGTGACTAAGGGTATAATGCTCCGATGGCTGAGATGGGAAGGCGTTTAGGTTATAATGCGGTGTGATACTCAACAGCAAAAATAGGTTCACCGATCAGCAAGATTGCAATACTCTCACGAGGTCAACAACGTGGCACCAAATACTTGTCTGGCCCCAGTTCCAAATCATCATCGGAATGTCTGCGTAGTCTCTCTCCGCACGAAATCTGGTTCAGCCTTAAAAGCGGCGCGCTCCCTTCTCCAAACCACAGATTCAACATCTGGGCGCCTCGGGACATTCAAAGACACAGTGGATCAGCGCACATGGAATCACGCTCCCCTGAAAGAACCGATGGACGCGCGCTCACCCGGCCACGACATCTGGTAAAAAACCAAGAATCCTGGCCCCCGAGGCCGAGATCACTCCAAAACTAACGATTACCGCTCGCGACGCCAACTCCTAGTACCAACAATACCGTTTGCCAGCGCGGACCCAAAACAGTGAGTTGATGCACTGCGGAGATGTAAAATATGTTGCGCAAGATGTGTTGTGTGGGCTCTGACGTGGAACATTTGGGGTATAAGCTGTGTGGTGTAAGATGCGTGGTGTAACATATGTGGTGCAAACTATGTTGTGTAAGCTATGGGGTGTAAGCTATGTGGTGTAAGCTATGTGGTGTAAGCTATGTGGTGTCACCTGTTGGTGTGAGACATGGTGTCTAAAATATGTGGTGTGAGCTGTTTGTTTGGTGTGAGCCGTGCTATGTAAGCGATGTGGTTTCAGCTATGTTGTGAACGGTAAGCAACTATATATGTGTGCGTGTGGTGCAGGCTGTTGTGTAAGCTATGTGGTGTGAGCTATGTGGCGCAAGCCATGCGTTGCAAGCTATGTGGTGCGAGCTACCTGGTGTAAGACATGTTGTGCAGGCTAAACGGTGTGCACTCACGAGGCGCTCACTGGGCGCCCACGAACCGAGACGGGCGCTAACGCGGCGAGACCTCCGGAAACCCACCCAGCGCGTGGGGCGCCCACGAGGGGCCCACGGGCGGACACGTGCCTCAACGCGAATGCTCGGGGAACCCACCCAGAGCACGGAGCGCCCACACGCGGGAGCGGGCGCCAACGCAGCGAATCCTCGGCAAACCCACCCAGCGCACGGGCACCCACGAGCGGGCAAGGGCGCCAAAGAGGCGAACCCTCGGGAAACCTACACCGCGCATAGGGCTCCCACAAGGCGCCCGCGAGCAAACCGAGGAAACCCACCCGATCCTTCAAGTAAGCAGAATAAGAACCCCTGGGTGCGCGCACTGTATGGGGATAAGGATCTGCGCTCACATGGCCAAGATCCTCAGCAGCACACAATGGACACGTGCTCGCGAGGCCGCGAACTCTCGCAAAAAAGGACCCGCGTTCCTGGGGCCGGGAGTAATTATGGATCCGCGCTCTTTAGCCCAGCTTCCTCGAAACGAAAAACAGATCCACGCTCCCGAAGCCAATGCTCGTAAAAAAGAACGGTGGATCTGGGCTCCCAAAATCAAGATCCCTCGCAAACAAACTCACTGTGGATCCGCGCTCCCGGGGCCACGATCCCTTGCAAGCTCCCCCTGATCCAACACGCACACGGATCCGTCAACCAGCTATCCATCCAACCATGCAATCAGCAAACTGGCCAATCAACCTGATCAATTACCAGACAGACAGACAACCATCCCGAGCTGCCAACCTGCCGACTTGTTAGCCAACGAACCGACCAATCCAACCATTCCAGCCACGCAGGAAGTCACAAAGGGAATCCGGCGGCGGAGGGTAAAGCCCTTCAGATTTTCACGATGATCCATCTGGACCTGGAACATCGCTGTGGAAAGCGTCGATACAAGGGTGGTGCCGAAGAGCAGCCCGATCGCCATGCACATAACTGAGAAGATCCGCTCGACACTTGTGGCACAGACCACCTCGTTAGACCCCAAACATATCTGAACCATTGCCCAGTGAAAGGCCGTCGTGTACTGATACCAAACGCTTCCGTCAGATAAAGGCAGCCCTGACTCGCGGATCCAATTCGTGCCCGTGTCAGACGGAGACGAAGTGCCGATGAGGAACCAAGCGCATGATACAATATGCGCGCAGAAAAGAGTGGTGGCGAACATGCTAGCAAAACGAAACGCGAGCTTCCAATAGTCCGAACATTTCTCCTCTATCATCCGAAAAATATTACGGCCATTTGCATCGCGGCCCATAGCCACAAGTCTTAGCAGCCGGCCGACTTTTGCGAGGCGAGCCACCCTCCAGCCTACAGAGTTCGTAACCAGCAGAAACACCCAGTCGCTCATGACGATGACGACGTCGATGACAAAATAAGAGCGCAGGTAATTATTCGCTATGGCAGGAATGTTGTCGACTAGTTCCCCATTGATGTGAAAGCTGGTGGTGAAGCAAACACCGATGTCGATTGTCCAAAACACCGCTGTTATCCAAACCATGGCTCTCAAGAAACCAACCATGGGAAAATCCCATGCAATAGTCAACGGAACAGTCGTGATATCATATAAAAGAAGGGCTGTACCCAACAGTCTGTATAACATGTACACGTTGGAAGTATGGGAAATCGACCACTGAAACATGGAGAGCTTGGAAAACGTTCCTCCGTCTGAGAGACTCTTCCTGACCCCGTCAGACCTCGCATCATCAAATATTCTCTCCAGAGTAGGCCGCGATGCGCTGCGATTTATCCGCATTACCGCTCCCTTCTCCTCCCCCATCTCGCTCCACCTAATCTCCAATGAGCTGGGCCAAGTGCTGGGCGGCTTGCCGAGACTCCCATTGGAGGCCACATGCTGCGGGTAGTGGCCCGCGGAGCCCACGGCGCAGGACGTGCTGGCCGTGGCCTGCGGAAGCGCGTAGGGCTGGCTCGGACGGACAGCGCATGGGGTCCCGCAGTCTGCCCCGTCCGCGGCAGCCAAGCCTTCAGAGGGAAAACAGCTGTTACGTAAGCACAGACGTCCGAAGATTCGCGCGAATTTGTTGGGTCGGTGCTGACCCCCCTGGCGGCGCCTCCGGCGCCGCCCATGGCGCGCTCCGCACGCCATGCTGGGAATGTCCGGCGCCGATCCAATAAATCTGCACGGACCCTCTCCGAGCCTTGCCGCAAAACTAGAATGCAGGAAAAAACACCCTCACATCAAGCACCCCGACAGGCGAAGCCATTCACAAACGCACCCAGGGAAGGGATCGAAGAGAGCAGAACTGCTCCGTAAACGCCCCGGGTCGTATTGCAAACGCCAATGATGGCGTCGGGGCGGCTCTCCCTCCCTTGAACAGCTGCCCCGCCGTCGCGGAGAAGAGCGCCCACCGCACCAGCGAGCCTGGCCTGGGCCTCCTGGGCCTGGGCGATGCCTGCGGCCACCTCCAGCAGCGCCCTCTCCACGTCCGCGCGGGCCGACCGCGCGGGCGCGCCCTCTTCGGCCACCTCCTCGTCTGCCATGGGCACCCCTCTGGATCGGGGCCAGCCTTTTTCGAGGCAGCCCTCTGGATCGTGGTTACCCCTTTGAACCTTGTGGCTCGGGACAGCCCATCGACGGCCCCGACAGAACGATCGCTTGAGCCAGTATGGCAGAGGGGTGGCATGGGAGCCTCATGGCCACGGGGCCACCTGGCAGAAGCATGGAGCGAGCCAGGGTGGCGCGCCAGGGAGCGTGCCAGAGGCATAACCTTTCTTTCACGCTGGACAAGAACTAGCCCATTAGTTGAGGTGACGCGCCAGGAGGCGAGCCAGGGAACGCGCCAGAAGTCAAGCCAGGGGAACAAGCCAGGGGCCGCTCCCTGGAGCCTCCTGAAGCCCGGAGGGGGCGTCCAGGCGCCTCCTGGGGCCTCCTGACTCCTCATCACGTCTCGCCGACTGTATGTGGGGGGCACGGTATCATCGAGCGGGCGCGCACGAGATTCGCTCGTCCTGATTTTGGCAAAGGTTCCACCAGGATGTTGTGCAAGAGCCTCTGGACCCTCATTCACCCTCACTCCCACCCCTCCGATGGGCTCGTCTTTTGGATTGGACATCGCGGGCACGTCTCCTCCCGCCCTCCTCCTCCTCCTCCTCCTCCTCCTCCTCCTCCTTCTCCTCCTCCTCCTCACTTATTCTCTCTCTTACCAGTTCTTGTCCTTCCTAACCCTCCTGTGTTGGGCTCTCTCCTTGCATAGAGCATTGCGGTCTCCAGGTCCTTCTCCCACTTCCATCCTCATCTCTACCCTCTCTCATCCGATTTCTCATGCCTCCTACTTCTGATGTACCTCCCACATGTGTTCGCAATACCTGCGGGGCTGCGAGCTGAGAAACTGCCGCCATGTTCGGAAGCTGCTGGAGAAGACAGCCTAATGGGTACCGAGCGGGGACTCAGATTAGAGCTCGTCAGCCCAGGGGAGTGTGAACTGTGAAACTGTCGCCACTTTCGAGGGCTGCAGGGGGGGGGGCCCAACGTAGCGAACGAGGGGCCAAACCAGATCTCGCAATCACTGGGGCTCTGCAAACTGTGAAACTGCCGCCACTTTCGAGGGCTGCTTGGGGTTGACAGCGTAGAGGGTATCGAGCGGGGACTCGGGTTAGACCTCGCTACAGTCGGACCTAGAACAATAGCACGTCCCTCAAGAACATGAGACCATCCGCCGGCCAAACTGACGAATATTCGAGGGTAGCGCCCCAGGATGCGCAAGAACAGTTGACAAGCACGAAGAACATTAGGGTACCCTCTCTGACCCGACCTCAGTCATATACCTCGGTCCAACCGTAAACCTGAGAGCGTAGTGGGCCTGGGCACCAAGCGGGGACCCATGCTAGCCCTCGCCATCCCCGGGGGTCTGCGAACTGCGAAATTGTCATCACTTTCGAGGGCTGCTAAAGGGGGGGGGGGGGCAGGGCCAACGTAGTGAGTACCGACGAGCAGGGACACAGTTTAGACCTCGCCATCCCGCGGGGGGCTGCGAGCTGAGAAACTGTCGCCACTTTCGAGGGCTGCTGGGTTGGCATCGTAGCGGGGACCGAGCGCAGATGATTCAGAGCAGACCTCTCCATCCCTGGGGGGTGCGAACTGCGAAACTCTCGCCATGTTCGAAGGCTGCTAGGAGGGCCAGCGAAGTGGGCACCGAAGGGGGACTCAGATCAAATCTCGCCATCTTGGGGGACTGCGAACTGCAAAACTGTTGGAGATCCAAACTAGACCTCGCACTCCCTGGGGGGCTGCAAACTGAGAAACTCTCTCGCCAATTTCGAGGGCTGCTAAGGGGGCAGAGTAGTGGACACCGAACACAGATCCAGGCTGGACCTCGCCTGTGGAGCTGCGAACTGAAACACTGTCGCCACTTCGAGGGCTGCTGGGGGGGGACCCAGCGTAGTGGATACCGAGCGCATATCCAGATTGGACTACGCCATCCTTGAGCTGCAGCGTTGTCACCCATTCGAGGGTTGCTGCGGGGTCGAGCGGAGGGATGTCTACGCGGGCGCAGGCTAGAAGGCTAGACCTCACCATGCCTTGGGGGGTTGCGAGCTGCAAAACTGTCGCCACTTTGGTGGGCTTCTGCGGCGTCAGGTGAAATCTCGCCGTCGTCCCTTCCCCGCGTTCCCGCATCTTTCCTCTTCAAGCCTGCAGCCTCACACCTCGTCCTTATGTTGCTGCCCTGTGGGTCGGGCAACGCTCGCGCACCCTATGTAGCTTGCACAACAAGCGAAGACTTGTGCACTGTCGTTATCCTTACAAAGTTGGGCCAACTGCTTTGGCCATTGATGGAATTGAGTTGGGTATTTCGCAGGGAGAATTTCTGTATGGGACGCCGGTGTCTTCAAACCCTGCCAGTCATCGAACATCCGATGGGGGCGCGCTTTCCTTGACCGGGCACGCACGGGATGCAGTTACTTCGCAAACAGATGCCCGCACACCGCTGCTATACCGTCGACGAACACTACCCTGGCCCAGGGACAGGGACAGGGGACCATCACTACCAAAGAAGGCTGCCAAACCTGCGCGTTGCCTCTTCATGGTCGTCGTCGGCGTCGTCGTCGTCCTTTTCCTCACCTCGCCCCACGGGACCTCCAGCTCCCCTGATTGGCGCCTATCCGCAAGCCCTGTGCTCTCTGAAGCAGACGACGTGCGAGGGGGCGTGCCACAAAAGCACCATGGGACGCGCCAGGTAACGTATCGGCGAACGTGCCAAATGATGTGCCACGGTACTTACCAGTGGACATGTCAGGGATGCGCCAGGTGACGCTCCAAGGAACGCATCAGGGGACGAGCCAGGGGGCGCGCCGCATAACGAACCAAGGGGGCGCCAGGGGCGTGCCAGAGGGCGTTCACCCAAGGGCAAATCCTTCCGTTGTGATGCTGAAATGCTTGGCCTACTAACCAGGAAAAAGGGGTTTAGGACTGTCCTACTTTGGGCAATAGGCAGTGGCCGTGCCAAGAATATCAAAGAATATGATACCGTGCCAAAAGCTGTCCTGTGCTGCGCTGCGCTGTGCCGTGCTGTTCCGTGCTGCGCTGAACCGCGCTGTTTCAAAAAATTTTGAACCGTGCTGTTCTCCATTTGCTGTAATCAATTTCGTTATGAATGCTAGTCGGCCTTGGCGTCAGCATTCAAACCGAACTGGTCTGGATCATTGGCTCGAGCTGCCTAACCACGCTGTTGTATCCCACCCCTTCAAGACCAGAGAAACGTTTTACTAGACGGCTCATACTTCCGCCAGGGCCGGCGAGACAACTAGCGACCAAACATAGGAGACAGGCGCATACCACCAGATTATTTGGGAGCAGCACAGAGTGAGAGCAGGATGGTGCGTGGTTTGGAGGCTTGAGCAGCGATTGCCACATACGGTGGACGGCCATCAGACGGGGTGCATATACAAACTCGCGTGGAGCACTATAATGTATCCCACCCTTCAAGACCAGAGAATTAATTAAGTGGAAGGCTCATGCTTCCGCCAGGGCTGGCGAGAAGGCTAGCACCCCGACATAGGAGACAGGCGCCGGCCACCATATCCATACTGACAGTAAAGAGCCACGCCTACTTGTCCTCTGGCCCGAAGGGCCGCATGAAACCAAACAACCAAACTGAATTACCAAATCTGTCGAGACATACCCTAAGCCTTAAGCAAGACGAGCGCGTCCGAGAAAGCGGCCCCAAAGCGTTACGAAGCTTAGGGGGTAAGGCTCTGCCACAGAGGTCCAACAGCGCCCCTCCGAGCTTTTACCTTGGAGGTTCAGGCGGGGCCGCTGGGAGGCTGAGCGCACATTGTTTTCGCGTTTGCGAAGCTTCTCCAGCGAGGTAGAATCGATCAGGGCGCCGCAACATGTAGCGCGGTTCCTCCACGGCGCCCCGAGTACGCAAACATTTGTCGATATCAAACGTGAACGCGAATTACTAACAAGAGACAGAACAGCAGGCGCAAGTCTGATCCTGCTCGAGGCGGGGTTCTCCATCGTGCCAGAAACCCTCATCCTCCCACGGACGTGGAGGCACGATACGCTGAACGACATGAGGCAGTTGCCAACGTCAACTTTAGACTGATCTTTCTGAGAGAGCCCAGCAAGCCCCACCACGTGATCGTTTGAACGCAGCGGCGGCGGACCTGGTTGGATGTTCCGAGCACGAGACCACGAGGGGCACGGGGCGCCGACATGCACGGCAGGGATGGCGCGCCCGAGGATCCAGCCTCGCACCACAGAGCGCTTGGCGGGATCGGTCAAGTCGCGCCGATCGCGACGCAGGACATCCCAAGCTAGAGCGTGAAAACCTCTCGCTGCCATCGCTGGCCCTAGCCGCGCGGCGCCAACAAACACCTCCAGGGAGACGCGCGGCCTCAAGCCGCGGGACCCGCCTGGCTGCAGCGATCCGCAGAGCGCCACGGGAAGGCACCTGAGGCACCACCGCGACAGGGTCTGGAGGCGCAGCGGCAGCTTGGCGAATTCGCTGCCCAGACGCCCGCCCTTATCGCACCTCCCGTCGCTGGCGCCCGTCCGCCAGCGGCCTCGGCGCTTCGCCCCCGCCGCTGCTCGGCGAAGCCGCGGCTCGCGCACGAGCGCCTCCGGATGCGCGGCGGCGGGGGCTGCTGCAGCCGCGGTCGAATGCCAAGGCCCCAGCGCGCCAGTCCGCGGCTGCCCCCTGCGGAGGGAGGCGCCAGGTGCGCGAAGCGAACCGCCCTCCAGACGCCAGGCCGCATGAGGAACACAAGCGAGTGCATCGCGCACATGGCCATGTCCCAGCGGTTGGCTACCAGCAGCTCCATCGCGAGGGCGAACATCACCTTGGCTGGGAGCGGCAGGCGACTGGCTGCAGGCGTTAGGAGGCGACGCCCCTTCAAGGCTTGGGGCGCCTGACGGAGCATGCGATGGCCCCCCCTTGCCTAGACGTGGGTCCACCCGGGCCAAGGCCGCCATCAGGTGCCCCGCGCCAGTGGTCAAACCCCTCCAGGTACTGCTCTCTCGCCCACTCGCTCACGCTGCGGTCGAGGAGGTCCAGCATCCCAACGTCCAGGGGGCAGCTCGGGCGCGGCCTGGCAGGGGGGCCGTTGGGCGCCAGCCACTGGTCCAGCTCCTCGTGGAACTTTGAGCACCGTCGCCGAACCGCAGCCGCGCGCACAGAGCGGTCCTGCAAGCACCGCTCTCGCTCCACGCCTGCAGCCAAGGGCGCCCGACTGGGCCGCCATGAGCCGTCGGCGGCTCTCGCCCGCCACTCCAAGGGTGGGCCTCCGCCTGCGCGAACTCGGCTGAGTCGCGGTCGGCAGGCGGGCGGGCCCAGCGGGCGGGCTCGGCGAGCGCGGCTGGCGCCGGCGGCGAGCCAGCGTGGGCGCCTCCCCGCAGAGCGCAGCTGCCTCCAGGGGCAGCCGCCGGCGGGGAAGGCGCGTCGCGGCCGCCTGACCCAGGGGGGTCCAGGGCGCCAGCGTCGCCGCCTCCGTAACCAGCGCGGCGCAGGCCTCGCGAGGGGCCGTCGGCGTGGTTCCACTCGCTGGGGGGCCAGCGGCTGGCGTAGACCGCGCCCGCGGCAAGGCCACGCGCGGCCGCGCTCCGAAGGGCGGCGCGCACCCCGACGGCCGACGACCGTCCTTTGCACAGAGCCAGAACACGCATAAGAAGACGCCGTGTCTCGAAATTCTTCATGGATCGACATGTGTTTTACTGCAGCAAAAAGACCCCGACCCTCGCCATGAACTATGTTGTCTATCGACATGCACCACTTCTTGCCTATGATCACCGCCCATTCACGCCCCTTGAAGATGGGCGAAGGGTCCGAGCGCGCGCCCCCCCCTCTCCCGCGTGCCCCCCTCCACCTTTCCCACCCAGTCCGCGTCCTCAGAGTCCCCCCTGACGACCAATTACACCTTCGCGAGACATGGTCTGGGCCCCGCCCGAGAATCTCCAACGCTCACTCACGCGCCCTAGTTGCTAAACGGTTTCGCGAGGTAGTTGGCGAGCGACGAGGCCGCGGCCCCGGAACGACGCATCGGAAGCGACCACCTTTGAGCTCCACGACGCTCTAGACTCACGACGGATTAAAGGTGCGATGCTCCTGAAGGCCTCCAGCCCCCAGCGGACAGAATCCCAAAGAGCCGCGACCCCGCGATCACGACGTCTGGAGATGAAGGTGTAGACGGAGAGCGAGGAGCGAGCAGTGACTCACAATATTCTCATCACCACGCGCAGACACCTGCTTGCGTTCGAACAAACCGCCCATCGCCAACCGAATCCGCCAGGCGCCGTCGGGCCGAGGTGGCCCTTCGGACCATTGATCTCCCATCCAAGCACCTCCTCCTGAGAGCACGTTGCAACTTCACGCGGTGGTGGGCCTCTAGAGCGAAGCGCTTCATCGGCCTGTCGCGCAGGCCGTCCGACCGTCGAGCGGCGCGTGCCAAGCGCAAGAAAGTTATCCACATACACTGCATGGCACACGGGGGTGGTCGCAGGCGGGCCCCCCCGATCGCGAAGGTACGAGGCCTTGTCGAGGCCAGGAATGTCCTGGATGGCACGTCGATGCAAAGTCCGACAGAACCATCGGGCATGCGACCACCCCGTAGGCAACGCGCGAAGCCGGGGGTGCACAGGCGTGACCAGACTCACTCTCGCGCCGTCTACTTCGGCGACCTCAATAATCCAAGGTGGCGCGGCTGGAAGAGCAATGTAGCTCCGCGGCTTCAGAGGCAACTCGAAATTGTAGAGGGCGCCCTTGGTACCTACGTGGCCCACGTGCAAGGTAGCTCCCGCTGGCGCCTCCACGTTGCCGGGCGCGGCCCCCGCGCTGAGCTCGACGGGGTCGAGGGGAGAGAACCGGCAGTTCGACCGTCGGCAGTCGATAACTAAACGTTGCCGCCATGCTTCTCCCTGACAAAGAACAGCGAGCAAAACTCCGGCGGCTCGAGCGTGTAGTCGATCATCGAGGCCCTCTCCAGTCTCTTGATTAGCCGCCGGCATTCATGCGGAGAGCCGCCCAGCACCTCGCCCACGCGCGTCTCGCGTGGGGCGCTTTGGAGATCGAGGCGGGCTGCTTCTTGTTTGAGAAGATGAGCACGTGAACCCGTCGACTTCGATGTCTCCACCGGCCGTTGCCAGCAACAGGCAGGCGGGCCTTCAGCTCGTCGCGCTGCACAACGGTGGACTGCGTGCCTTCGCACGCCGCGCGCCCTCGGAGCTCCTGCAGGGCCCCCGAGGGCGCGGGGCCGGGGGGGCGGCCCATCGCCGCGGCGGCGGCATTTGCGCGGCGCCGCAGAGCCGCCTGCGGGGCCCCGCCACGACTGGATATGCGAGCAGACGACCCCTGCTCGCCGCCAGCCAACGAGTTGAGTGCAGAGATCGCAAGATCGGACAGGCCTGTCGCCAAACTCGCCGCCGAACTCGGCGACGCAGAGACGCGGCCGCATCAGATCGAGGCGCGGCGTCTCCTCCAGGAAGGCAAGGGACAGGAAGAACATCTCGCTGGCGAGGCCCTCCAAGGCGCGGTAGTCGATCTTGCGACTTCCAACCCTCAGGGGCCTCGAGGCCAGGAGAAGCTTGAATTAGGGCTTCCCCCGGAAAGGCGAGTGGCAAGCACTGGGGGACATTTGGGGCAGAGGGGCCGGCTTGCCGTGAGCCCCTCCCCCCCGGGCCTCTCGCCTCTCGCCCCGGCTTATCTCTCTGCTTCTGGCGAAGCTCCCATTTCTTCTTCGCCTTCCTGATGTTCCTCACGATGGCAGCGCCCTTCTCCGCCTGCAACTTCACGTGCTCCAGCAACGAAGGCGCCGCCATCAGCAGATCGCCCGCGCGGCTAAGTCCAGAGAAGGCGGTCGCCTCATCGATCGAGAGCCGAGTGCTGGACCCGGCGTCCGTCTCCCTGATCTTGTCGCGGTGCGCCCACTCGATCGTTTGGACTCGCTTGGCCGCCGCTTCCATGCGCGCCAGGCTGCTTATGTCGAGCTGGTCGCATTGCCCCGCCAACTCAATGATGCGGAACAGGGCCTCGTGCTCGGCGACGCCCCGCTGCTCGGGCTTCAACGAGCACGTGCTGCAAAACGTAAGGTGATGGTCCAGCGGGGTATGTCTCCTTCGGAGGAATGAAATGCTTCTCGGTCCGCTCGCGGAGAAGGTGTCGAACTCCTCTTGCACGCAGCTGTTGACGACGTCCTTCCAGTCACGCACGCCCCCGCCTGGGCCCACTTTGACCGAGAGTGCGCGGGCGTCGGGCTGCGCCTTAGCGGCGGCAGCGCGATCACGAGGGGCCATCCAATGGTTCCTCGTCGCTGAACTCCACGAGTGCCGCGTCCTTGCCGTTCGGTGCGCAGACGCCCTCGACCCCCGCAAACGCGGCCACAGGTCGCACCTCGAGCCCCGGGTCGAGCCCCAGGATGTCGTTGGCCTCCGACCCTCCAGACGCCGAAGAAGGAAGTCTTAGCGCCGCCCACGAGCGTCCCGTCGGAGCCTCCAGGCGGCGCCCGTGCGGCGACCATGCGGGCGCTGGGCTGCACGAGCGCCGCGCCCACCAAGGCCTCTGCAGGGACTCGACGTCCTCCACGGCAGCTCACGATGGCGCAGTCGGCAGCAAACCCACCGTCGGCCTCGGCGACCTTCACGGCCTGCGTGGCCGCTCGCGAAATCCACTTCACGAGATGGTCGTCGGAGATCTCGCCCTAGAGAAACGCGCAGACAGGGCCCGAAAACCCATGGGAAAGGCGGCCATCCACAGCAGGGCGAAGCCACTCGATCGGACTGTCGTCGGGGAGACAGCCTTGCACACTCTCGATGTACTGGTCTCCATCAGGCGTCACCACGATCCAGTCGGCGGCGCCAGACGACTGGGCGGGAAGCGGCCAACGCAACGCGCGTTCATGCCAGAGCGCGCCCCCCGCGCACCCGACTGATATCACGACGCCCGGCACCGTGTCGGACAATGACACCGCGGCCAGCATGAGGAACACGGCGCGCACACGTCAGCACAGTGAGCAGGCGGACCCACAGCTCCAGCAGGCGGCCACCAGCACCACTACCAACCAGAGCGGCACGCAGACTGTCCAGGAGGATGCCTCGCCCGCGCTCTCGCAGGCCTGCGAGGGGCAAGGAGGCGCCTCGTTGCACACGGTCGCCTCGGAATGCGGGCATGCCGGCGCCGTGCAGGCCACCTGCGGGCAGCTCACCGGCTGCGGCGACGGGCAGGTTAGCGACACCTGCGGGCAGATCAACGTCGGCGACGGGCAGGCGGGCTGCGGCGGGCAGGACGCTGGCGGCGGGCACGCTGGGCAGCGACCCAGCCAGGCTCCGCCGAGATTGGCGGCCCCGAGGATGGTCGCTTGTGCCAGCTGTCAAGCCACCATGCACAGCCTCTCCAGGGTCAGGGCCCGCGGGCAAGATGGCTTGAGCAGTGATTGCCACAGACGGTGGACGGCCATCAGACGGGGTGCATGTGCAAACTCGTGTGGGGCATTATAATCGCCAAGAGCTGCTTGTAGTCGAAACGTGACGGGCGCCCAACCAGCTCACGCTCAAGATCCGATTCAGTGCCGAAGAGAAGCGTCCCGACAGGGGGCGCATGGGCGTGCCGCAGGACGTGCGAGGGGCGCGTCATTTGATGTGCAGGGAAACGCGCAGGTGATGTGCCAGGGGATGCGCTGCGGGACGTGCCGAGGGGCGCGCCGGGAGACGCGCCAGGGGACACGCCAGGGAGCATGCAGTCGAAAGTGAGCCTGGTAGGTCAAATAGCATCCGTCTCCATGGGAGGCGGATGAGCTCACATTGTATCCAATTCCATGTCGAAGGAATACGATATGGGGAGTGGATGGGTCGGATAGGATAAGATCGATGTAATGATCTTTCCAGCACATAGCGAACACTAAGGTAAGTGTCCGGGCAAATAGGGCGCGCGTGC